GCAACTCTGGTGGCCAAGGTGGGGCTGCAGGCTATGACTGGGCATAGGGCTTCAGAGCAGGAGGAAGTATCACTTCCTTGCCCCCTCCTCCCTCAAGCTCCTCCCTCAGGCTGCAGTTCTGTTCTCAAGTGACACAGCTTTCCCGTGGAAAGCAGAAGTGGTCCTCCTTCTCCAGGGGCCCCCTGACAGACAAGCTTCTCCATTCCCCTCCCTGGGGTGGGGGGGGTTAACATTTACAGGAAGAGTGAGGCACCCACAAGGTCCAAACACCAAGCAGACTGGACCTGGTTGCTTCAAGCAGAGGCAGAATGAACACAGACCCATAGACTCCCTATGTACTCTCCCCAGCACCCAAGAGAAGCCCAAAGGCACCTAGCTCCCCACCCAAAGTTTCACCACTATGGATCTGAGGGAGGGAACTTGGAACACATTTTCAAGGAGTTTCCAACCAGTACCATTTGGGGTCAATAAAGTATGACAAGAGGGACTGTAGATGCTCAGAGAGAGGTGAGACTGCTCAAAGCCAGAGCAGCATTTGACTTTGTCTGAAGTACTAACTGTACAAAAAGAAATGAAGCAAACTAAAAGACTCCGAGCTACACACCCACAAAGACTTCTTCCCAGTGTTCTACAACTCCATAAACCAGAATCTAGACCATTAGGAAATTGCTATATTTTATCCCCATTAGTGTCATTTTGTCAGACACCATTGAGCGATCTCAGAATTATGAGTAATGAAGTTATAATAATGAGACTAACTGATAATCTCTTCCCATAATTGGTCAAACTCATGTCCTATCTATTCCTGGTTTGAAAGAAGCTTTGTTAGATGAGAGAAAAAGAGCTGACGAACAGAGAGAGAGAGAAGGGGGAATTGGAAATATATCAAGTGTTAATAAAACACAGTAAAACAAACAACATTTTTGAGAGAGATCTGTCCCCATGAAAACTATATCCTGATTATAAATATGACTTTCCAGAAATCACTTAGTGGCAAATAATGAATGTTGATGGCTTATTCAGTAAGAAGGGAAAATGAAGTATAGAACAAAAATGAAGAAAAAGTCCAAAAATAAAGAATAAGGGCTATTACAGGTCCCTACACTTGTTACCTTGGACAAACCTATTGCTATTCTAAATTTCAAGAGAATTCTTCCAGCTAATTTAAGCCAAAGATAAGAGAAAGTCTGTGTTACACAATGTCTCATCCCTCACTTGGCAGCTTTCCATGCTAATTTTTACCCTTGTGTGTCTCCCCTCAAATGGGAAATTACTCAAAATAAATTTTAGAAATGATGATAGAATGAACTCAAAGTTTCACAATTTAAAGTATCAGGAAACTAAGCAACTGTAAGTATCTCTGACTATTAAAAAAAAAAAAAGACTTCCTCTTCCATGAACAAACTTAAAGGATGGAAGGCAATGAATATGTATTATAAGAATATTGGTTTAGAATGATGTCTTGCACATAGCAAATGAGCATACAATGGGATGTGTGTTATACCATGCATTCTATAGGCCCTGTCTTCTAACCTTATATTTTTACTTTGAATGATGCTCTGATTGTTATAACAACCATAGAAAAAGGCTGGTAGGGTTCTTGGAGAAGCACTTTATAGCACTTTTGCCTAATGTTCCTTGGGCATTTCTGTATTAACCAATAAACATCTTAACAGCCACCAAGACAGTCACTAGAGCTGCTTGGAGAGTAGCCACATAGGTGTCACCTTAGCAGTTTTTGGAGATGCCCTACCCATACCCCCACACAGGAGGCTGTGCTGAAAGACACAGAAACTCATTTCTAGAGGGAGAGCTTAAGTGCTCAGCTTAATAGGGGTCTCCTTCTATGTCTTGAGCAGTTACCTACTTGGTTCTGGTAAATCCCCAGTGATAAAAGACAATGACTTCATGATTCCCTATTTCTCCATTTCTACAATATATATTAAATAATAAGTTTGTTTCTTTGCTTTTAAGTACCTATTACAGGTCCAAAGGTAGACAAGAGGGAACAGCCAGAACACACTTACTACACCCAATGGTGCCACTTAGCCTGTGATCTTGAACCAGCTCCTGAATCTCCTTTTCCCTATCTGTTCTGCCAAAAGGTTCAAATGAAGTCAGGGTTCAGAAAACTTCAACACCTTGGAAAAGCATAAGGTGTAGCACCAACACTGTCAAGACCTGTCCAGGAAATATCTGAGGACATGTTTGCTCTCAGTGTGTCCTTGACCAGAGTCCAACTGACCATGGTGGCCCTTCACTGTTTGCATTAATCCATGCATCACAGAGACTTCAGTGCCAGTGAGCAGCAGCAACCATGTCCCATGCCACGGGCATGCATATGCTATATTCTTATTTATAAAATTAGCACAGGTTTGTATAAATGGTCATATGGTTTCATATTGCTAAGTGCCAATTCTACATATTCATGAGAAACAGCTGGAATCTCAGGTGTTTTGGTGATTTATTTCTGAATACAAATACAGGTAGAACTGAAAGACATTGATTTACAACATGATGCCAGACCACTTTTCTGCTTTAAAAAAAAGAAAGAAAAGAAAGCCTCTGGATATACAAAGTCTCTGCATACCTTTGCAACAAAGAAGATCCTAAGATAAAGAGATTGGCCCAACTACCTTATCAGGGGGCATGTTGCTACTCCACAGATACAGCAGAGAAGACCGGTCCTGAACAGACATTTCTATTTAGAACACCAGTGTTGCTCAACAAAGTCCCTCAAATTCCTGGACAGAAAGCTCCCAGAAGGCTTCAAATGCCTTAGGGACTAGCTTTGTTTCATCTCTGGATGTTCTTGGCAGGACTTCCTTCCTTCTTCCAAGTAACCTCTACTGAATACCTACTATGTGCCAGGCACCAGGCTATCATTTTGGACAAGACAGACAAAAGTGTTGTTGTGGAGCTTCCATTCTAGTGGAGAATACAGCCCATAAACATGTGGATGAACCATAGTATGACTAATTGCTGCTATGAAGGAAACACTGGCTCATTCAATGGCCAAATTGGTTTATCTCAAATCACAGCTCCAGTAAACTGTGAAAGAAACCAAACTCAGGTTTCCTGGCTCCTGTTTTCTCTTACCTCACATCCACTGCCCTCTACCCTTCACTCAGCAAGAGGGTCACCCCATTTATAGCCAAAGAGGCTCAGTCATCAAAGGCTCTTGGGATCCAATTAAATTTCTGAAGCCTCAAAATGCTTACTTTCTTACCTCCAAATGAGAATGGAGAAACAACTAGATATCCCCTGCCTCAGCCCATTTCCCATCAGGGTTCACCCTAACCCTGGAAGAATTCCATAAGCTCATGTACTGTCAAAGTCTATTCCTTAAGCAATGCTATAGGTGTTGACTACACAGAGAGAACATCCCTACAGCCCCCTAGGGGCAGAAAACACAAGGGTCAAACATCTTTACTGGCTAGTTCTTAGGGTGCATTGGACTATTGAAACTGCTCTTTCTTTCTTTTTTTTTTTTTTTTTTTTTTTTTGTACTGGGAGTTGATCCCAAGGGTGCTTAACCTCTGAGTCATATCCTCAGCCCTTTTTATATTTTATTTAGAGACAGGGTCTCACTGAGTTGCTTAGGGCCTCTCTAAATTGTTGAGACTGGCTTTGAACTTGAGATCCTCCTTGCCTCAGCCTCCTGAGCCACTGGGATTACAGGCATGCACCACCATGCCCAGCTCTGGGCCTGTTTTGAGACAGTAAAGTCTTCTAGTGTTTATTAAGCAACTTACCAGTAAGGTTAGAAACTAAACCAGGTATAGTCTTAGGTTTAAAATAGACAAACTGAAGAACCAAGGAGTCTCGTTTTTTTATTAATAGAATTAGTTGCAATAAATAACAATAACAATACCATTTAGGGAATGCCACGTACCTACTAGGGGTTTTCTGTGGAGGTAGGTAGGCACTTGTAAAAGAGGAGAAAAATCAAACAGGGAGTTTCAATAATTGGCCACCTTCATGCACAGCTGGGAGATTGCAAGTCCTATATTCCAACTTGGGTTTCTAAGAAAGCGGAGAAGTTTGATGAAAACTCCTCCCCACCACACACACACACACCACGGATATATAAAAATAAAATAAATAATTTTTTAAAAAGTCACAACCATTAGTCCACAGGGCAATGGGGCTGTTGTTAGAAGAAACATTACAAATGCACAGCTTCAAGAAGCCGGCGCAGTCGGTCAAGATATCACAGGAAAGTGGGGACTGGAGCTTACACCCATCCCCCAACGCGAAGGAAAGGCAACCCCTGAATTCTTAAAATAACTCTCGCTTCCTCCAGCCAGAGCGTCGGACTGCTAGGCTGCAGGGGGAGAGGAGCCGGCTCTGTGGGAGAGTGAGCACCAGTCTCCGCCACAGCCGCTCGACGTCACCATCCTCCCAGGGGCCGCTAAGGAGGGCAGTTTTCCGCAGGTCTGAAAGAGGGACCGCTCTGAACCCCACTCCTCACCTCTGGGGCCCCAGGCCCCAGTGGTGAGACCCGATCGCTCAATCCAAGGAGTTCCCCCGGGATCCCGGCTGCGTGCTGACTCGCGTGGACAGGGGCTTCCCCGCGGCGCACTGCGAGTGGACGGAACCGAGACAGCAGCCGGCCCTGGCGCCCTAGACTGGAGGAGTGCGCGGTTCACCCGCCCCGGTGCCCACACCTCCACCGCACCTCTGCGGGAGGGAGCGCTGCTGACACCTGCGGCCACCTGCGGCCGCCCGCGGTCGCCCGCGCCCACGTCCTGTCCCCACTATGGGGCAGGTCACCCACAGGTTTAAAGCATCTGTGTGCTTCCACCAGCGGGGGCGGGCGCTGGGGAGGCCAGGAAGCGGCGCACGGATCTTTGCTGCCGCGGCCCCTGCCGAAGCCCAGGGTCCAGAGCTAAACCCGCAACCCGGGCTACAACGGGTGGTACAGCCGCGATCCCACCCAGTCCCTCCAGGCCCCTGCTCTGCCCGCCCCCCTCCCCGAGCTCAAGCCGGAGACTCACCCGCTCACGGTGAAAGTTTCGGGTCTGCGGCGGCGGAGCTCCACGGTGACTTGAGTTCAAAGCTGGGAGCGCGACAGGACAGCCCAGAGGAGCCCTCCTGGTGAGGGGCTGCAGGCAGAGAACGCGGGACACTTGGCCAAGGGGTTGCAGGCTCGGGGTCGGGAGTGACCGATGCCCCGCCTGCAGCAGTCAGGAGGCTGCAGCGCGTCGGGCCCAAAGGCTCCGCCGCAGGGGAGCGAGAGGCAGCGCGGGCCGGCACGGTGGGAGAGGAACTGGCTGTTGCTGGGCTCCACCGAGAGGTCCCAGCTACTTCCTGGTGCTCGGATTTGCATACTGCGCCTGGAGGGCGGGGAAGTGACCGTTTGGTATTTGGTGTGGCCGTCGCGCAGAGCTTTGAAAGCAAAGAAACCTAGCGACCCACCGTGCAACCTGGTAGCCTTGGATCCTACAGTCTGAAGTAGGGATAGACTGAAGGTCTCCCAAGGACCCAAAGGGGCAACGAAAGCTCTCGCATCTCCTTTCCTTTCCTTTCGGATCTAACTGCTCAAAGTGTTAGAAGTGGGGTGCTCCTGTAAGTAGAGGGGGGGCATGCTCTGACCCCGCTCAACGTTTGGAGTTCTCTGGAGAGAAAGAGAGCAGAACTGTTACTAAGGGTCTCATTGCGTTTTTGTTTTTTTGGTTTTTAATCAATACAGAGTAAGTTTCTTAAGAATGTTCACGGACATATCCAGGTCATTCGATGGGGCGGTGGAGGGGGAAGTGGGGATAGCTGTTGAGTTAAATGCCTGGCAAGTACTAAAAATTTCTGAGAGCCTCAGTTCCCTCCCTAGAAAATGAAGAGAAGAACGCTTAACTCTCATGAAATGCCTTGTGTAGAGGGCTCACATTACCTAGGGTGCTGTAGTTGAGGCTAACTCTGCATGCCTACAGGTATCCCAGCGCTTGGCACATAACTCATGCCTAACCAGTGCTTGCTGAAAGAAAGAATGGACTGCATATTCAAGCTCATGTTTCAACTGGATAAATGCCATTTACACATCCCAAACGTACAATTAGGCTCAGTCACTGTGGATGCCCACTTGTTCCAAGCCAGCTCCTGTTTCCTGGGATCCTGGGATTGTACTACTTTGTAGAATTTACAAGGAAGTGACTGGGACACCATAGGAAACTTGGCCTTTGTACTAATAAGAGCAAACCCTTAAGGCTAGATGAGTGCCAGACACTGCTCTAAAGGGTTGCTTTCTTTTCTTAACAATGTTCTTAAGAGGTTGGCCCCACCTACAGTCCAACTGGTCAAAGCAGCCACCTTGTACCAAATCCCATATAGCAAATCATTTGTTATTAGTAAAGGAGTACAAAAATTTGCCTACCGCAGTCATTTAGGCTGTATATTTTGATGTTTTGGGCAACCATGAAAGTGGTCCCATAAGATTATAAAGAAACTGACAAGATTTCTGATACCTTAATGACATTGTAGTCCTGCAACATTGTAGCAAAAGGCAATACTCAGATGTTTGTGATGATATCGACCAACCTGCTCTGCAATTATGTACAGCATAAAACACCTGATAATGACAATAAATAACTATGTTGTGGTTTATGAATATACTATATTATTATTATTATTTTAGAGCATAAATTTAGGAAAAGAAAAGTTGACAGTGTGCTCTGTTAGCCAACACCAGCTTTCTCCATCTGATGTTTATGTCTTCTTTTTAAATATTTTTTTAGTTGTTGATAGACCTTTATTTTATTTATATGTGGTGCTAAGAATCAAACCCAGTGCCTCACACATGCCAGGCAAGTGCACTACCACTGAGCCCCAGCCCCAGCCCCTTACCACATCTCTTGATTGCATCAAGAGGCCATGTCTAGTGGTTGACCTATACCATCCAGGTTTGAGTAAGTTCACTCTGATTTTCACACAAAGACAAAATCATGTAATGCTGTACTTCTTGGGACATGTCCCCATTGCTAAGCCACACTTGACTATACTTCCTTAAATGAAAAGAAAAAAAAAAAAAAAAAACAGGATATCTACACTTATAATGGTCACTGGTATGTAGTCAGTTTTTTGCTAAAGAGTAGTGGGTGGATTATGTTGGGAAGGTGATGAGCCTATGAGTTAAATCTATCAAGGATCCTGTGAAGCAGTTCATTACCTGGGGTCCATATCTTGTACTTTTCTTTAGAATAATCTTTCAAATACTTTGCCTTATCTACCACTACCAATGAGTCCTTGAGATGCTGGCTAAAGGCATGTGGCAAAAAATAACAGATACAAAATATCTTCTGTATGTTAATCTACCTTGGAAGCCCAGTACTGCAGTGTAAACCTGTAAACCCAGTGATTTTGGAGGCTGAGACAGGAGGATCTCAAATTCCAGGCTAGCCTTGGCAATTTAGTGAGAGAGACACTGACTCAAAATAAAAAGGACTGAAGATGTAACTTAGTGATAAAAGCACCTCTAGGTTTCATCCACAATATAAAAAATTAGAAAAATAAAAGAAAAGAAAATATCCATCTGGAATGTTGTCAGTGTTTTTGGTAAAATGTCTCAAGAGTAAGGAATAAAGCACCAACCACACCTGAGCTTGCACCCAGCTCCCCTGCTTTACCTCCTCACATGCAAGCATCCTACCTAAGGTTTTATTCTTATTTTGAAGCAACAACCATTTCCCTTCACACTTCTCAAGCTCTATTCATATATCTTGAATACGGATTTTCCATATATCTGTCTTTTCTCCCTACGGTCCAACGAAAGTCCCATTTCTCAAGAAAGCTTTATTTAAAGTTTTTACTAGTAGCCTTTTTTTTCTAGACATTTATATTACTTATAGCAGGCAATTCATTTAAAGTAGACCCTTTTAAAGTTTAGTACTTTGGCATTGTTCACCTTTTTTTCATGTGTAGCCTTCTCTTCTCAAATACTAGTAAATAGCCAGGCATGGTGTCACACACCTGTAATCTGAGCTACTTTGGAGTCTGAAGCAGGAAAATCACAAATTCCAGGCCAACCAAGCCAACTTAGGGAGACCCTGATTCAAAATAAAAATAAAAAGGGCTAGGGATGTAGCTCAGTGGTAGAGCCCCTCTGGATTCAATCCCCAGTACCCCAAAGCAACAATAAGAACAACAAAAACAAGTAAATAGTAGCTCTTCTTTGGGAAGACACTCCTTCTTATACATACTTATTTCCCACTGTGCATCCTCAAAGTTCTGCAGAAGGCTTTAAACTACTCCATTAATATCCACTGAACGGTTAATTGATTGGCTGATTTGTCCAAACAGTATTCTCTAAAGTGAGCCCCGAATGGAATGATTGGAGGCAGGATGCAGATCAACAAAGGCTGCCTTGACAGGTCAGGCAGGACTTTAAAGAAAAAAAAAAAAAAAGGAATATGACTGACAGGATGGAGGAGGAAGTGTGGAAATGCACGGCTATGAGCAGTGTTTCCTCATTTTGTAGGTACTGTATTTGTGAATTCACCTACTTCCTATATTTTATTTATAAGCCCAAGATCAACACTAGCCTGCTCATTTGTAGACATGCATATTGCAGAATAGTGAAAATGTTGAGTCTTCCATTCTCCATGCTCCCAGCTAAGATGAGCAAGATGATACTCTGCCTTTTTAATTTCTACTTTCATACTGTAAACAAGTATCTTTTTTGAAGTTGACGTGTTGCCATGTTTTCCACCTTTTTGTGCCTTTTAAGATTGGTGATTTTGCTGTTGGAAATGGTCTCCAATCGTAGCACTGAATTTCTATCTAGTGTTCCCAGGCACAAGAGGCTGGGATGTGCCTTATGGAGAAAATATGTGTGTTAGATAAGCTTCACTCAGGCATGAGTCATAGTACTGTTGGCTGCGAATTCTAAGTTAATGCAGTATGTTAAATAAGATATTATTAAGCAGATACATACGTAAAACAATGTTAGGTATCAATAAGTTAATGAAAACGTTGCAGCCAGAGATTCATAAGAACCTAATTCCATATTTCTCTCTAGGAGCAATGGCTCGGGATTTACTAATTCAGTGCTCACAGTAAGTTCATAGAACATAACATAGAACACAAATAATGAGAATCAACTATGAGAATATCCCATCATCTATTGGCAGGAAAATGAAATGACCTCAAGAAACTTCTCTTGTATGTGATGACCATTCATCCTCATCACATGCCTGATCATGGTGCTTGCTTCTGTTAGAATAGGGCATTCTCAATGTATCCTTTCACATCACCTGATGTCCAGCCCATCCCACTGCCACATTGTGAACTCTCCCTGGTGCCACTGCCATTCTTCTGGGAGCCACCCTCTAGGGGTCCAGACTCCTAAGGCCAGTGCAGGGACTCTTGAGAATTTTTGCTCAAGCTTTCTGGCTTCCCTTTGGGGAAGACAAGATTGATCCAAAGAGTCTTCCTCTGACTCTTGCCAACATATCCACAAGCCCCAAGTGGCCCAAATAGGAAACAGAACAGAGGTGCTCAACCCTGGCAGCAGGTTAGAATCAGCTGAACTGCTAGAATATGCCCACGTCCAGGCCTTATGGAGGCCAATGAAATCAAAGTCAATGGAGGGGAACCCATCAGAGATTTTCAGGCTCCATAGGTACATGTGAGCAGCCAGGAGTGAGAACCATAGTCAAGTGCAGTGGCACACACCTGTAATCCCAGCAGCGTGGGAGGCTGAGGCAAGAAAACTGCAAGTTCAAAGTCAGCCTCAGCAACTTAGTGAGACCCTAAGCAAGTTAGTGAGTCCCTGTCTCAAAATAAAAGCTAATGGGGATGTGACTCAGTGGTTAAGCACCACTGGGTCCTGGGTTCAATCCCTAGTACCAAAAAAATAAATAAAATAAAAAGATTGGGAACCACTGGCAAAGAGTCTCAACCAAACATCTTGGGAGAGTATGGGGTATATTTACCAAAAATTAAAAGGAGGGGAATGTCAATATATATGTCACCAACATTCCTAATAAAATAAAAAAAAGTCCTCATCTGAAACACTGGAGACAAATATATTAAATATTATATAATATATTAAAACACTGGAGACTAATATATTAAAAGTGGGGAAATTCTACAAATGATATAAGCGTGTCAAACATTTTACTTAAACTTCAACCTTAAGTGCATTAATTTACTGCCAATGATTCGTGTAAGAATGAGGTGTTTCCTCTAAGCATGAATCCTGAACTTGGCACTCTGTCATTTTGGTTACCTAGAGCACATCCTGATACCTCATCTCTGATTTCCAATTGCAGATTTGCTGAAGTAGGGGAAGAGGCTG